GCAACGAAATCGAAACCTTTTTTAAGTTTCATAAAAATAAGATTTCATGCAAAACCGTTTTCACTTGGTTTCAAAAAGGGTTCCGTAACCAAGATTTCGTACGGTATCCATGCAACCTCATTAAGGCTATGCCAATGAGTCCGTCTATATGTGTACTACTATACCTATACCTATTTTCTGGTATATATACGAGTTCCTGCAAATCTAGCCTCTATCTTTATCCCCTTAATCTATTCACCTTACTTTGTCCCCATAAATTTACATATGCCCCTAATCTATTCGCTTGATCTAATACCTTAATGTATTTCTTTAGTCTACTCCTGAATCTACTCTATGAATGTTTCCTCTTAATGTATTTTCTGAATCTAACCGTTGAATCTATTCCCTTAATCTATCCGCCTACTTCTCTACGTATGTTCCTCTGTATATTCTAAGACCCCTTAGAATGGGGTGAACCATTTACATTAAGTCTAAATTAAGAATTAAGTAATCACTTAGACATTAATATTACTGCGAAATCTTTTCGGTTAGAAAGACTTGTAATGGTTTTACACGAAATCTATTAGATTCCGACACCTTATTAAGGTTTCGTTGATTTGTACAATACCTGATAACGTATAGTAAAGTTCAACGAAACCTCATACGTGAGTTCCGTAGTATACCTCTTTTTTCAGTGTGCGTGTCGTTATTGAATTATTGAAATTTTACAAAAAAAGTGGTAAGAAAAAGGTTGGTTTCGCACCGGAATAGAACACATATTCCGTAACTTTCTTCTTTATTCCCAACTACGGTGAAGTTTCTTTGAATAACGAACACTTCTCTTCAGTAGCGGTTTCTCAGCTTTGTCCTTTGCAAAAGAAATCTGATCCAAACTTGAACTACATGGATGTGTGTGTGCATGTGAGTCGATATGGACGGGCGTAAGTAAATAGAAGATTTATAACCACACCCGCAAAAAAGAGTAGACCTCGATCACTGCTTAGGATCCTCATACCTACAGGAATTATTGTTTTTCTGTCATGTAGAGAAATGCGAAATATTTTGTCAATATTCTGTTGAGTTTTCGATCAAAATATGGATGCAGTTTAATTGTGTGTTGTTATTACAGTAGATTTTTATATTTCAGTCGCATAACTATCGTTGCAGTCATAAATAGATCCAGAGTGGGGTTCATCATTATTCATTTGCGCGTTTTGATTCGCTATGTAGATGGACTCGATCTGGATTTTGGACGACCCATACTGGCGCCGGTCTGGGTCAATCAGGCCAGACTGGACCAGTCGGTATATCGGTTCAATCCGTCGATCGGCCTAAAATCTGTACAGGCACTGGTTGTCTCTCTGTAGTTGATCAATAGGTTAACGGATATGTATTTTGAAGGTAAAAGGCAATTGCGTTCAATCATTGTTTATATAAGTTGACTGGGTAAAGCTTGACAATTATCTCTCATAGAGCTGCTGGAAAAAGTTAGGATGTATTTGTATCCGACCGGTCTACTGACAAATCAGCCGATATAAAACTCGTATCGGTACCGGTTCCATGTATGACTAGCTATTTAAAACACTAAGTGATCTTTGATTAGTTATATGACCATTCAAGCTTATGGAGTTTGATGGAAATACTATAAACATCTAATACCTGACTTTAACTCCTATGAAACGAAGTGGTGAGTATAGGTACGGATGTTAGTGTAGGTGTACACTGTAAAAAAAATAAGCGTACAATACTAAAATCTCATGTCTCCTTAGCACCATTGTCATAAACCTCTTTTAGGTTTATTAGAGTAATTTGTTCTTTCATCTCAGTTAGTTGAAGGGACGTTCTTTTGCCCTTTGAACTATATTTAAGGTTACAGTGTTTAAACCATAATCTATTGTACTAAATACTCTTTTATCACAATAAACGATTTTTAAGGTAAAATATAAGAATTACATTCTTATCGCTTAAACGCTAGATTAATCACCATACATATCAATATCACCGTTTTCTATCACACGCAATTTTTCGTTTATGCAATGACATTGTCACATCATCAGTAGTAAACAGTTATTTTGAATAAAATGGTCATTGTTTTACCTGTTATCTGCTACACAATTAATTTCATTCGACTTACGATTAACAATCAAGGTCAATTTTTGTCGATATATAATCGAATCAATGAGTAGTTTTCATTTCGTTTTCGAAAAGCAATCTATTTGATTTCGAGCAAGTCGAAATATTTATCTAAATAAATGAAAACTCGCGCATTTTTAAAACATAATATATCAGTAGAAATATTTCGTGCAATTTTCAAATTTTTATTTTCCTAAAAGTTCGAAAACTCGCATAAAATACTTCAAATCATATATTATGTTTTAAAACTGGACGAATTTTCATTTATTTAGATAAATATTTCGACTTGCTTGAAATTAAATGGTGCTGCTTGTCGAAAACAAAATGAAAATTATTTGTTGATTAGATTAGGTATCAGCAAAAAGTGATTGCCAGCTTCTTGTGACATATTTATTGTTTTTTGAACTTGCTTTCACTCTTCGTATATAGCTTAAATTTTGTTGATTGCTTAAGGATGTGAAGTTATCGAACAAGTTTCATCAAATAAATGAATGAATGAATGAATAAATGTGCTACCTGAATTTATTCCTTCTTCTTTCTTCTTTCTCTACCTTTCTTTTTCTTTTCTTCTTTTGTTTCTGTGCATGACAAAAGACTCATTATTAAATAATAAATGTATGGATCATTCTGGTATATTTCATATACGATTTTTCAATAAGTAGTATATAATAGTTTTATTCTCTTTCGACCTATCGAGACACACAATATGAAGAAAAAAGCGCGTTAAAACACATAAAAAAATCGAATTTGTTTCAAAATGTAAAAGACGCACATTCTAACAAGTTTCAAAGGTATTAAAGCCTTCAATCGAATTTTGAATTACTTAACAATTCTAACCCAGAATAACTATTAGAGACATTTAACTTTATGGTGCTGTTCTCGCTAGATATTTCCACGCGTTTCTGAAGATCTGAAAATTATTTAACAGCTCAAACGCATTTTTATACGTTGGAGTTTTTTTTAATTAAATGATCTGTGCAAAGAAAAAGTAACGATTCTATATCTAAAGATTCCTCGAGAAATTGTCATTCTAAGTTGTTTCAATCGTGAAACATTGTCTATCGATTAGACTTTATTATCTGTTAATCTATTTCCAACTACATAATTAAAGTTTTCTTGTAATTTATTTAATTTTTCGAATTTGAATTATGAAAAAATTTTTCTTGTATAATTTTGAATAGATTAACAGAAATAAAGTATAACCTAAATGATAGCTTTACAGGATGGGAATAAAATTGACACAGCTAGGAGTTCATCTTGACAATCCCCCAAGAAACCTCGAAGTATAGAATTAGTACTTTGTCTTCACACAAATCTCTTAATTTACAAGCCCGAACGCCTAACAAGGCGTAAGTTTGTATAGGAAGTGACTTGCAGATATATAGGAACCAATTTATTTCTACACTTTATTGAAGACTAATCTATACGTCCATCGAACTGAGTGATACTTATCCGCTAACATTATTCGTTTTCTAGTTATGTTTGATAGCGTGAACGGATAACATATATCCTCTTTTCTTAATGGCTAGTATTTATTTGAGCAATAAAAATATTGAAATGAGCAATAATTAAAATACGATTTAGCAATAATTTGTAAGCAATAAAAAACTTTATATGAGTAATTTTATATTATTAAATGTACAATAATTGATTCATTAAATAGCAGTTATAATTTCACTTTCACTATCAGAAATATATTGCGTTATGCTTTGTGATTGAGACATTTGTACAAATTATATATTTTATTTTATAAAATTAAAAAATAATAGAAAAGCGTTGAATTCTATGTTGAAAAAAAATACTAAGATCAGAGTCCTTCGAAAACTGAAAGTATTCAAAAACTTCCTGAAATTACTGGAAAAAACCTAGAAATTAGGATCTAAATCTTCTCCAATAAGTCGATTTAAATCTAGTTATTTTGAAAAATTCATATTTATGTAGAAAGATAAGTCTTCGCCGTATCTTTCTATCAGAAAAATTTGATTTTTAATTTTTTTTTTTCGAATAATTGAATTTTCTAAGTGTTAATATGAACAAAGAAAGATATCAGAAAATATACAAGAATTAGTATTTTAGAGCAAAACATTTATTGACAAACAAACAAATAAATATTGTTCAATTGTTCGAATACAAAATTTGAGTAACTTGACCTTGAACTCAATAGACTTGATTGGTTTTGATTTTCGATACAAATTACTAACTAATATTAATCCAATGTTTGCTCCATGGTTAGACGCAAGTGTAGATTTTTCGGTCGGTTTATATACGAATAGAATGTTTTCGTTCATATCTAAGTGAGTATTCAGAAAGGGAAGGATATTCAAAACTAAATACATAGATTGTAATATATTAATAAAGCATCTTGAACATATAAACTGTGACAGAGAATTATTTTAAGCTCTATCTACGGAACAAAACACAATCAAATAAAAACCGATGACTCATTCATGTATTTTGTTACTTCATAAAATAACACTAGCACATATGTTCAGAGGAAAAAAATATCAAGACAGAGACTAGATAGATTACAACTGTAATAAAGAAGACTATATCACGAACATAAGTCAAAAATTAAACTTTTATTCTTAACAAAAGCTTGATTTTTATGAATTTTGTAAAAATATTTCGTTTTGAAGAATAAAAAATTCTTTAAGCAGATTCGCACCAACCATGAAATCTATCTAATGGCTGAACCTGAGTGAATGATCGCGTGTGTTATTTTAGTTTTTCATCAACTAATACGTTTTATAAAAAAAAAAA